GGTGGCCGGGGCGCGCGCGCGCTCACCGCGCCGCGGGCGCGCTGGGCGGGGACGCCCGGCCCGCCTCGCGGGCCCCCGCGGACTTACCAGGTTGACCGGGTGAATGTAACCGTTCTCGTACTTGTCGTTCGCCAGGATCTGCCTCAAGTGCGCGATGTAGCTGGACGCCAGCCTGAGCGTGTCCAGCTTGGAGAGCTTGGTGTCCGGGGGCACCCAGGGCAAGGTGGTCTTGAGCCTGGAGAAGGCCTTGCTCAGCACCCGCATCCGGGCCCTCTCGCGCGCGTTGGCCGCGTTGCGCTGGACCTGCTTCCCCTCCTGGCTGACGCCGCCCAAGGGGCTCTTCTTGGTGGGCGCCTTCCTCCTCTTGCCCAGGCCTCCGCGGCCCTTCTGGGGCGACCCCGCCTCGCAGTTGGAGCTCTCCTCGGTGCTCTCGTTGGAAGTCACAAACTCCTTGCCCGAGTCCATTTTCAGCCCGTCGCAGTCCAGCATCTCCACCTCTTGGAGGTCCTCCACATCGCTGAGGGAGCCGGTGGACATGTTTGGGGGAGAGGATCAGAGAGAGAGAGAGAGAGAGAGAGAGAGAGAGAGCGAGCGCGAGCCCCAAACCAGTGGGCCCCCGGGGGTGGAGGGCGGAGCGGCCACCTCGTGCTGGGAGCGGGAGTCGGGGGGCTGGTTGAGTCTTACACTCCTTTTCCCCTTCGCAGAGCTGTGAGAAGGAACCGAGAGGGCTTCTGCGGGGAGGAACCCGGCTCTGTGTCCCCACCCCCGGAGTCCTGGCCGCAGAGGAGTGTGAGAGAGCGCTGAGGAATTTGGTGGACACTAGGAATTTATCTGGGGAATAGAGAGGCGGGTCCTTGTAGCCCAGGGGAGGGGCCTCCTAGGCCCCGGCGGACTCTTCGACCCCTTTCACCACCGGAGGGAAACTCCTGCGCACGGATCCCCGTTTCCAGCTCGCAGTGTGGATCGACTCAAGGGCCACACGCGAATGCGGGTCACCTTCTTCCGCTAGAGCCGAGGAGGAGCGTGCCCCACCCACAGCCCCTCTCCTGGGCCGTCTCCTCCGGCCTGCTTTCCTTCTTCAGAGGTCCTAGCCGGTTGTTACCCAGGACTTCGGGGAAATGATCAGCTCCTTTTGCCCTTTCTAGGCCTTCCGACCGACCGCAAATCTCACAAGCATCCCCCTGTCGTCCCCCCTTCCCTCCCCCAATTAAAACACCAATTAAAATCCAGGCAGGGGTCGACTCCCTCCCGCCAGCACCCCAGAATGCCCTTGTGGCTTTACCGAGCTATCGTCCCACCTTCAACAAGTGCTTCACAGAATCTTTAGGATGGTGCAGAGAAAGCACCAAAGCATCCGTCCGCACCCGGCCACTTTAAAGAGATCAAGGAGCTGCCTGTGTGTACCCAAACATACTAGACCATCGCACGCCCATGTGCAACACACACAGCTTCGTGGGCATGAGATAGAATAATATGAGTGTGTGGAAAGTATTTTGCTAATTGATCATCTTTTCTTGACGGAATTAAAACTGTCCCCTACATTTCTTTCTAGAGATACATTTAATAATGTCTTAAGACTCTCTCAGCCGCTCTCAGATATTACCTGGCCTGGGACTTGCCCTCGCCCTCCCAATCCTGCTGCCTTTGCGTCTTCCTTACCTCTGTCTTCTCTGCTATCGGGGTTCCCCATATGAAGCTGATATGGCAAAACACTAAGCAGTATTATCCCTTCGGGAAAGGTGTTTTTTTGTTTGTTTGTTTGTTTGTTTGTTTGTTTGTTTGTTTTCCTATCTCTAACCCCAGCATGGATCATCTTTCCTGGAGAATAAGAAAATCTGGAGAGTAAGTAGAAAAAAGCAAAGGGAACCGGAAAGCCAAGAGGTTGAATACAATCCACAAAATTGGAGAGATGGAGTGCACGGATCTCTCTTACTGACTCTTCTCCAGGTTTTCTTTTTCCTTGCAGTTAGGCAGCGAAGACAGAGGCTGGAGCAGAGTGTAAGAGCAGCTTCTGAGGTTTTGGCTGGAGTCTGCACCCCTCTCCTACATTAAGATATCATATCTCTAATCCGGGGCTCAGCTGGGAATTCACTAACCTCTAACGTTTTGTTTTGTTAGCAGGGTCTTGTTTGCTTTCCCCCATGCTGTAAACTAAACAGATTGTCAGCAAATCAGTCTTTATTAATGAATTAGTGAGAACCCCTCCCCATAATATCTTTGCCCAGGGTCCAAAATTTGTTAATCACCAGCGTAGAGATTTATGAGCTCTCTTATTTTCTGTTGTTTGTGCAGGTGGAGCTTTAAATGACCATATCCACCACCAAGATTTATTGTGAGAGTGATTGATGTTATAAACCAGGAACAGGACTCTTCCCACAGCAGGGATGACAGAAATATCAAGTTGAAGTTGCCTTTGTCCTCCTGCACAACTGACCCGGTACTACAACACAGAAGAAGTATAATAATTTAATCCGAGATCTACGACAGCGTTAAGAGAACACCCCGCAGGCCCGCTAAACATTTCCCCAGCTGATTCTTGGGTTTTCCCTCCCATTTCTTGGTCTTAGTAAGGCGTGAGAGTCATGAAAGTGGGCTTTGGCCAGCACTTTGTGCAACGTGTTATGTATTTTTGTAGCTACTGAGGTATCTGCAAAATAACCACAATTTATTTATTTATTTATTCACTGGGACTCTGGAGTGGGATAAAAATTAAGAATCAGAACTATGGCCTTACCACATGCCAAGCTATTAAGCTATAAAGCTTTTGGTTTCTGGAGCACTCATGTTTGAGGGGAGGGGGAAGGGTCTGGTTTTCTGCCACATCTCAGTTGTTAGGCTGCTCAGGCTATTTGGGGGATAGCAACCATCATAGAAATAAGTACCAGATTTCTGCTGTCTATGTTTTCAAGGTCTGAAACTTGGAAATAGAAATTTCTGGAAGAGAGCGAGACGAGCTTCATGCCACACATTGATTTATGTGCCTAGCAGTTATTATTATTACCTTTTTTTTTTTTTTAGATAAGCAAGAATTAAGTCCACTTATCCTACGGTGATACAGTTAGGCTGAGAAGGGCTAGTGGGTTGATAATGAACTTCGGGGTGTTTGCGAAAACTCGCCAAGGGATGGTTACCAGTTTGGGATGTGAAGATGTGGAAAAGGCCATTATGTAGGCGTCCTGATGTGACGTCTTGAAGAAAGTAGATTAATATGAATACTGCATCTTTTCTCTTGACATTTTGTGCCTATCCCTGCTCATAAACACTTAGGGAAAAATGGGTGGGAGAAATTCCTTATTGCTGGATTCTACTAAGAAAATCAGTTAGGCTGTAACTTAAGCTGTGCCAAATTCTCCCCAAATATAAACTATACTCTGTGAGAAGAGAAAGAAAAGAAGCGCTTTTGAGAAGCTGTATTAACTCTTGATAACAAGGGAAATACTCTGAACGTTAGTGTTTCAAAACACTAACTAGAAAGCTCATGGTTTGAAGGCGCGAGGTAGTTACTAAAAGTTCTTGCCTCACTTTTAAAGACAAGAGTTTATGCCCCAGAGACATCTGGCCAATTTGCAACACACTTCTAACAATTGGCTTTGAAAGACAGGCTATCTTCGAAAGATTTCAGTGCTAAGGAAAAATCTGGCTCTAAAGGTTGTAAAATGAAGATTAGGTGTGGAATGTATCCTTGAACTTAAATCCTGGTTTATCAACTGATAACTTTTCAGGAAGTTCCAATTTGATTCAGTTGTGCTTGGATGAAATAATTTGCTTCCTTTTATATGAGAAGGAAAACTTCACAGGCTTCTTCAGAACTGACTTCGTACGCCATCACATTTTCTTTCCCAGGGGTGGGGGGAGTTAATGTCTTCAAATGAACATTTGAATTATTTTCTCGAACTCTCCATTACCTGGCCAGGAAGCACACAGGCTGGCACATTGCCAAAACTGCCAATTCCCTTTGTTTCCCTGCCACTTCTAACGAACACCTCTAGATGTGTTATTCTCTTTACTTAATGGTAACCACCTTTTCAACAATGTCTGGGCCTTCCATGCAAATCAGTGCCTTTTTCTCTGTTCAACCTAATCTGTACCCTTGGTTGTTGCTCGTTTTCCATCTCCTGCTTATAAGCCTATTGAACTCTGATTTTTTTTTTTTTTTACCTTTTTAACTTAATTTACAAAATGGGCATTATCTCCCCTTACTTGTTCCAAATCGTAATGGGGCTGGCCTGTTATATTCTGGCAGCCAACGTGAGTAGAACACTAGTGAGTGAGGTTAGTGGCTATCTAAGGAGGTCAATCTAGTGATGCAGGGTGTTACTGTTATCTTTACCCAACATCAATTCTGATCATCAAAAACCAGAGGGCCTCTCAGTATTCACCAACCCCTTCTCCCTTTCCACGTTTAATTCAACTAATTGTACCTCCAAAGCCACAACACTAAGATTTACAGCTGGCAAAAAAAAACCACACTGAAATCCAAAGAAAGTCCAAATTCACCATGGCTCTTAGATCCAAGAAGCAGCCTTGCTCCGCAATGTGACTTTGAAAGCAGCCAAGCCCGTGTACACGAAGGACAGAGTTTACCTTAAGAAGTGGGTTGAAGGAAACTCCGGTACGTGGTGAGAGGTAGAAACTCTACAAACTCAGTTTCATGTCTTCCCAAGTCTTCAGTATGAGAATAATTGTATCAGACCTACTCGCTATCAGGAAAAAGGAGAGGAAAACTTGAACAACTCTGCAATCGGGTACTGAGTGAGGATCTTTGCCTCACTTCTTCCATCTTCTGTAGAATCTCTCCTTTCGGTTTCACTGTTGAAGAAAGAGCTGTTATGTGAAATGAAAATTTTAATAGAATGTGTGCCAGAAACTTTCAACCCGTAACAATGAAGTTTTAGAAAAACTTGCTTGAGTAATGACTTACCTGTATCTTAATGTCAAGGCTGAGAGCAAATCCTCTCAAATTTTCCTAAAAAAATAAATCTTGTGGATTACATGGAAGATAACCTGTGAAGCACATCTACGTTAACTATGTTCGTTGATGACTATAAAACAGGCCAACTGGCTGTCAGCCTTCTTCCTGTCGGGTTAGGAGAAGATGCACATTGAAATTGAAGCCTATTTCTGGGGATTAGCTCCTTGTGATTACGTCCTTGTGGCAGGTGCTTTTAGGCTTGAGGAGCGAAGAGTCATGGCGTGTAGATTGCAGGACCAGAAGCAAAGTACTGAGAATGCGACTGCTAACCTCAGGAACATGAAATATTTCCAAGTGGGGTAGTATTTTCAAATAGAACCCTGAAGTAATAGATGATCAGAATTGGAAGGGCTGAGAACCTAGGAAAGCCTATATGGCGGTTTCACCTGAGTCATCCATGACAGTACGACCGCTTGAACCTGTGTCCAGATTTGCCTTGTAATGCTCCTTCCATGAAGCCAGAGTGCTTTGAATGGTTTTTCCTAGTTGAATAACAGTAAGATGCATGAAAAAAACTTTTATCCTGTTATTTCCGGTTTAGTACCGAGAATCCGTAACACCTGAACCTTGAATTATATAAAACAAAATAGATTCAGCCGTCCCTGGTTGTAAGTTTACAACTCTGCCTAAGGGGTTCAAGTAGTGTCAATTCCAGAACAACCTTGTTAAAATCTCTTCTCTCCTAGGAGAGCCCCATTGGGCAGGGCAGGGGCCATGCATTCAGTGAGCACGTTCTCAAATCTGCCGCCTTTTCTCCATCTCCTCAGCTAAATTCTGGTTCAAGTCATCAAAACCTTTTCCGCAGATGACTTTGAAAGTCTCCGAGAGATGGGGGCGCCTGGGTGGCTCAGTCGGTTGGGCATCTGACTTCGGCTCAGGTCACGATCTCAGTTTGTGAGTTCGAGCCCCGCTGTCAGGCCCTGTGCTGACAGCTCGGAGCCTGGAGCCTGCTTCGGGTTCTGTGTCTCCTTCTCTCTCTGTTCCTCCCCTGATCACGCCCTGTCTCTCTCTCTCTCTCTCTCTCTCTCTCTCTCTCTCTCTCTCTCTCAAAAATAAAGATTAAAAACAAATTTTTAAAAAAGTCTCTAAGAAGATTCTTTTGCTTCTATTCCTGTCCTTTTAAAATCCATTTCCAACAGAGTGGTCCAAGTTATTCCACTGCTTCAAATCCCTTAAAGCTTCCCATTGTATTTGATATAAAATCCAAATTCCTTATCACGGCTGGCATGATTCTACTTTGCTTACCACCTTCCAACCACACTGGCCCATGTCCGTGTCCCTCAATGACACTGTATCCCTGCTTACCTTAGGACCTTTGTCCTGGTTCTTTCTGTTGAGATGCTTCTCTTTAGCTCTCTGCATGATTGGCTCCTTACTTTTCAGGCCTGAGCTCAAATGTTACCTTCTATGTTAGAACTTCCTTGAGCATCCACACTTAGGAATATTTTTGTCCATCATCCCCCTTTATTTAGTAGCAATAGTGATAGTAGCTACCATTTACTAAATGTTTATCACAAACCAGACACTGTTGTAAGCACTTTCCAGATTAATCCATTTAGTTCTAACAACAATTTTGTGACATAGGAACCTTACAGATGAAAAAACCAATGCGTAGAGAGATTAGGAAATGTGTTTCACTCAGAAAGTGGCTGTTGCAGTTGTCCATTGCTGTGTAACCACCCAAGTTAGCGATGTAAGTTATTTCTCTTATTTCTGTGGGTTGACTGGGTTCAGCTAGGTGACACCCAGTGTCTCAGCAGGGATGGCTAGAACAGGCAGGGACTGGTCAGGCGTCTCTCTATATATAGCCTCTCCACATGGCTTCCCCCGCATGGCAGTCTCAGGTGGTTGAACTTCTTACATGGTGGCTGGCTTCTTTCTGTGTGAACATTCCACAGGACCCAGAAGGAAACTGAAAGTCTTCTTATGATCTATCTTTGGAAGACGGACAACATCACTTCTGCTTCATTCTGTTTGCCAAAATCAAGTCATGGGGCCTGCCCAGAGTCAAGGGAAGGGACCTATACAAGAATATGAATCCCAGGAGGTATAGTTCAATGGCAGGGGTGGCAATGGTGGTTATCATCCTTGGAGACTGGTGAATAAATGGCAGAGTCAAGGTTTAAACACAATCTGACTCTAGAGCCTTTACCATAAATAGTTAACATGTTGTGAAATTATTTCGTTTCATTTCATGTTTATGATTGTCGGTTGACTCCCCTTCCTCCCTCCTCGCTATAATGAAAGCTTTAGGAGTGCAGGGACTTTGTGTGCCTTGCTCAGTTTTGGGCTCTGAGCCTAGAGCAGGGCTGCAAAACAATACACACTTAATAAATAGTTGGCAAATGAATGAATGGATGTTCTAGACCATAGCATATGGAAAGTACACTGTAAACCGTAAGATATTTATTTAGAGAACTAACAAAACACCAAAAATAAGGTGGCTCAGACAAACCACAAACTTACTTCTCTCTCTCTTATCCATGCAGACCTAGGCAGTGGTCCAGGATGGATGAGTAACTGCCCCACAAAGACACACTAAGACTGGGGTTCCATCTGTCTTGTTGCTCTCGTCCTTGAGTGGAGGTGCCTTCCCATACAGAGACGAAGTCTGCTTACCCTTAACAGTTCTCAGGAAGGGGGCAGAAAAATGGTGAAGGGTAAATGGGTTCCTTATAGGAAGATCTGGAAGTTACACATATCACTTCTGCTCCCATCATATCAGCCTCTTTAGCCGGAAAAGGAAAAGTTTGGAAGTACGGTCTCTAAATATGTTCAGCCTAAATTCGGAGTTGGGGGGATCCGTTTATAAAAAGAAGGGAAGCCAATTCCGTCTCTGCCAGTACATTTGTAGCACAAAGGATTCAGTTGACATATGTGGAGTAGTAGAATAGTTTGACTCTGATAGAAAATGCAGATCACAAGTTCTATGAAGTTTATGATGAGTTCAAATCAAGCATCCGTGGGCTTCAGTCCTTATTTGGAGCTCGGAAAATATTTAACAACCTACCTCTGACTTCGTATGTGAGAGCGCTCATCCATGTGGACCATTCCAAGCACAGCGGTCACTAATTTCTACTCAGTAAATGGCTTTATAGAGTTGCTGTTTTTGAAGATCGACCAGTGAAAAATGTGCAGGTTGTTAAAGCTATTACTAACAACCATTGGCCCTCACTAAAGGCCCCTAAGTTGCTTATTTAATTGGGGGGAGAGGACACAAATCAGTTCATACCACTTCTCTTTAGAAACTGTAACTGGAAAAATGTGTGTTTTTTAATTCATTATTATTTCCAATTTTCAGGCTACTCGGGATTAAGATATCCCTAAGGCTCTTGTGTCATTTGAGGGTTTACCATATACCAATGTCATTATACCAATGTCAATGACAACCCTAAGAATAACAAACTCCCAGCATTGTTTGTCTTAGTTTTTATTCTTTGAGGGATCATTAGGAGGAAGAGCTTTAAATCCAGATTCATGGTCTATGACGAGGAGGGTCATCTGATACTCATTCCTAAAATTTGCAAAGGGCAATCCTCCTAAAGAAAGGAGGACCATTCTTTAGTCAGAAGCTCTAAATCAATTCTAAAGAAGCCATTAGTAGAAGAATCTAGGAATTCTTTATCCAGTGCCTCTGAGTATACCACACAGCTCCCACACAGAAATAGACATGGGTTAGATCAATTCGGTAATAAAATTTGCCAAACATTTTTGGGGGATTACTTATAGACAAAACAATGGATTGACTGCACTGGGGTCTTTTTCACTGGTCACTCTGACATATTTTAGATAAAGCCATTATTCTTTTCTTTTTTTTTCTTTAATTTTTAAAAATATTTGTATTTATTTTTGATAGAGACAGAGCACAAGCGGGGGAGGGGCAGAGAGAGAAGGAGACACAGAATCCGAAACAG